GAGCGATGGCCTCCAACTTACTAGCGATGGCCTCCAACCTACTAGCGATGGACTCCAACCTAAGAGCGATGGCCTAGCCTAGGACCACTGACGACCCCCCCCTCCCCCCCCAGCCGCCCCGCGCAGACCGTGGAAGTGGAGCGCTGCGAGTTGGCGCCCACGCCATTGGTCCTGGCAGAGAAGCTGGGGCGGAAGAAGGCGAAGCGGTGCGGCAGTTCGGTGCAGCTGTTCGCAGCCAATCACTTGGCGGAGTGGGTTTCGGCTGAGTTTTTTTCTGGAGGTTTACTTATTGGAGTTGGGGTGGACTTGGGTAGTGTAGGTGATTTGGTCGTTCTTTGGGGTATGATCTTTTGCCAGCAATGGAGAAACTCGGAGCTGAGCAGAGCACATGGGCGCTGAATGGTGAGCTCTCATGGGTTACTAAACTTCCTGTTTTGCAGGGGAAGATGGGGAAGTCTCTCCAAGCTCTTTCAGCCGGACTTTCTGGTGGGTGTGGATGAAACTCTGTAACCTTAAAAAACAGACACCCTCGACAAATGGATCTTTCGTGCACATAGCCCGCGCTTTGAGGTTCAATATCAAAGCAATGGACCCATCAAGGCTTCTCGGATCCATTTGGTTCAGGCCTTTAGGGACATCAGCGAAAGGTCCCACGTCATGTTTTGAGGACATGGCAACAACAAAATTCAAAAATGCACGGATGTCATGAGATGTCATGAGATCTCCATTGCATTTGCCTTTCACAGTGACTTACTGCCCCCCACCCCCCCTTAGTCGCCGCTTCGACAAAAGAGCCCCATTTGCCAGGCCCAACAGTTCCTTTCGAACGCCTGGGAGCCCATTGCCAATCTCAGTGGCATCAGCAAGGAGGACATCATGTCACAAGCGCGTGGGGGGCACCCAGAGGAGTTGAGTGTGGGGACGTTCGACTTGGGAAGTGGCGGAAGTGGCTCGGATGTTTCTTCATCAGTGGTCCGTTCGATGAGGTCGTTGACGGCTTTGAGGTCAAGAAGGATGACAAACTGCAGCAACACGCTATTTTTTTGCACCCTCAAGACGTTGCAGGCTGAAACTGTAGCTGCACTTCGACGCAGATCAAGCTTCTATGGCCGACCCATGTGTAATTTGCCCCGAGAACGCACACCATATTCAAGCAATCACAAACAAAAAGCTTGGAACAACTGCGACGATTCCACCACCAAATCCACTCTGACTCGCTAACCCTAGGAAAACCACCGTTGACTATAGTCTTTACCAAACAACCATTGTTTTACCAAGAAAAGAACGCACAGGGCATCCACCATCCGCACCTGAGGTCGTGGCGCGCTGCCCGCGGGAGTTCTGGTGTCTCAGGGTGCGTTGAGCGCTGTGCAGAAGTTCCTGGAGAAAGGCGGGGCCGTGGCGTTTGGAGAAAAGCGTTTGTAGAGATAGAGACATACGGCATCATACGGCCACCCTGTTTCATGATCATGTGTTCATGACTACTTTATGGGGGACTGAGGTGGTGGATGGCATGGCTGTGGCATGGCCCTGAGCATTTTTCCGAAGACCGCTTTTCAGTTGCATGATTGTTTCAGGAAGTGCGTAGATCAGGGATGAAATTGTGTCTATTTACAACTATTGAATAGATGGTGATCAGCTCAGGTATAGATCCACACCAAACAAACCCTTGAGTGAGCTTCTTTTTCACTCTACCTTTGCGGATGCTCATGGTTTAAAGTTGAAACCTTTCTTCAGCTTGCTGCTGTTGGATAGCTTCATCACCTCACCTCGTCAAAAGAGCTTCTGGGAAGAAGAATCGGAAGTTTGCCATGAGTGTCCGACCTTTGTCCAGTCAGGAACAGAAGATCACAGTAATACTTGCAAACATGTCAAGGAGGCAAGGAGCTTCTTCCTTTTCCGGGTACCGACGACCAATATGGGTCCTCGGAGGTCAGATGCCGTCCATACCGGGCACGGTCGGTGGCCCTCTGCCGACAGGTCGGGTGGCCGTCCATCGAACGCTCGCTCGTCGCTCGCTGGACATCTGGCTCCAAACCCGCTCGCTTTCCGCCTCTCCAGCGGATTTCCCACGGGCCTCCACGGATCGCAGCATCGACCGAGCCAGCCTAAAGCGGTTTTCCCTATGTCCGCGAGCGAGTCCACCTTAGCGGAGCTCTCGGAGTGGGATTTGTTGGAGCAAAGCTCGGCCAGTGACTGGGATGTCTGATTTTGGTTAGCTTTTTGATGGTCCAATTGGCCCCATTGGTGGCTAATGCATGCAGTTTTCTTGAAGAGGTGTCATAGTTCAGGCTGAATACCCGAAAAGAGGGGAGTGGGACTGGGGAGGCATGCGCCTTCGAACATGGGAGCTGCTCCAAGGTGATTGGGAGCTGCTCTCCAACTTCCGCTGGGCTCCTTCCACCACGCGCGATCCGCAGTCTGAAGTCGAGGATGACGCGTTGTCTGTGGCTTCGGCAGACTCTCAGTTCTCGATCACCAGCGTTTGTACAGTGCACGGATGGCCTGCCTTGGGCCCCCCTGGACAGTGGGTGGCTCTGGAAGATGGGGCTTTTGCTTCCATGAAAGAGGCCTTGCTCCATGGCGGAGGTGGCTTGGAGGGCGAAAAGGCCTTGGAGATGCAGAAAGGTCCGATCCCGAAGCGCATGGCCAGGTGCTTTGTGAATGGATATCGCCCCAGGAAGATGAAGCACTTGCCAGCCATCGATGAGGAGCTGGATGCTGATCAGGACCTGATGTTGTGTGATGATTGTTGTGTATTTTCTTTTTAAATCCAGCAACGTTTCGGGGCTCCCCCACAAAGTTTCTGGGGCTCCTCATGATGGCTGACTGCCCGATCAGGATGGGTGCAGTGAGCCTTCCAAGCACTCAAGGTGACGAGAAGTCAGAGGTGCATTGGTGCAATCAAGGCTTTTTCATGCTGAAGGACCCTATAGACTATCTCACAGGTACACCAGTAAGGTCCTACAAGGTGACTTAACCTCTCTTGGTTTGCGTGGCGTTTCCAGGACTGGTGGCTCCGCAAGGGTCAAGGCTCGTTGCTGGCGCTGCGCCGCTGGAAGTACGATCGCCGGCCCAGCAGCTGCAACGAGCAGCGGCGAGAGGCCGTGGGGCGCTTGGAGCCGACCTGGGAGTATGAAAGTGCCCTGGACCTAGTCAGAAACGGACAAGGGCATCGCTACTAGCAACAAGGGTAGCTGTAGCTAGAAGCTACTAGTAAAAAGGGCATCGCTACTAGTAGCTTCTATAGCTACTAGTAGTAATGCGCTTGTTCCTAGCAGCGATGCCCTTGTTACTAGTGACCTGGGCCGTCAGAAACGGCCCTGTGGCTCTCGGGCTTGGCACCCAGAAAATGGCAGGAGCGGACCTAGTCGATGTCTTTTGGGGTCGTCGGGGGGGCTCCTGATTTGAAAGTAGAGGATCATGGTTGCAGCAAAAAGCCCCAGGTCCAAGCTGCATTTAGCGGAGCAAACGTTGAAATAATGGGGATGGCGGAAGTGATTGCGGCAGCCGCAGGGTTTGAGCCAGGCCCACAAAACCTGCGAATGTGATGCGATGCGAATCTCCCAGACTCTCACAGAGTACCTGCAGACCACCAACATGTAGAAACACCCAAAGGATAGACCATGATAGACCTCTCAAGAATAGTGATGTCAACAAGAGGTAACAGAAGTGAACACGTGTGAGCGCTGAAGAATTTGGAGACTTCAAGCTTAAGGCTTGTTGTTCCCCTCCTTGAACTTCCCAGAAGCTCCTAGAATTGATCTGGTTTTCACAACAGTGTTTTGGGAGATTGACTTGGTGAGGTGGGCAATCTGCAGAGGGCTATTGCATTCCGGAGGAGGAAGAGCCGTTTTGAAGTCTCCCAAGCATCCCAACATGCAAAGAAGGCCGCTCCGTGCTGAGAGTTTGCAGTGCGGACGAGTTTTGGGAGAGGATCACAGCGGCTGGCGGCTGAAGCTCATCGCTTAGTTGGTAGAAGCTTTGCTTTGTATTAGAATAGGGAGATCCCGCATAAAAGAGACTACTGCTTGTCAAAAATCAATTACAGAATATTACAGACCAGAATTTGAATTCATTGGTTTGGGGGGTCTCCCATTTGGTAGAAAGCTCAAATCCCTTTGTGTCTTCCTGTGCAGTCATGCATTTGATGGCATGACTGCACGATTGCACGGCTCGGATGGGGTCGAGGACACCGATTCAGGTGGTTGTTTGTCTTGTACATAGAGTTGAAAAGCGACGAAGGACTCCTCGGAACGCATGGACTGGAACATGGACTTCTGCCCCGCGGCCCGTGTGTTCTGGAATACTTGAAACTGGACCATGGAGTAACCTCCGCTGTTTCATTTCTAGCTTCCCTTCTTTCTGATGTCATTTGCGCGTTACTGTCCAGGAATACCTGCTTCTGAGTTTGCGGAATTGGTCTTCCTTTTGGATTTTCTTACTGATTCAAGTGGAAAAGAGCTAGCGATTGGTCCAAGTGGTGATTGAACGGCGGAACACTCTGGTGATGAGTTCTCGCCAGTGTATGGGGTGTGATCGAGGGGGAGTGAGAACACGCAGCTTGTGCATCATCACATTGTGCTGTCCTCAATCAAGTTTTTGCACGTGTTTTGGTGAGGGGCGGGGGGGGGGGCGTGCGGGCCACGTTGAGGTGTGTCGCACCACGTTGAGGCCTCTCTTTCGGTCCAGAAGGGTTGACCCATAAGATCTTACGACCCATGGGGATCCTCCGTGACGTCAACCTCACCAGGGACCCAAACGCCGTCCTCAGCCGTGGAGCCACCCGTACGGCCGTCCGCTCGGCGCCACCGGCCAGGCTACCTGTCGGCGGCGGACCTGTCGAAGCGCGACGCCATGGGCTGCAGCTGCTTGCATCGGGCGGCCAGCACCGGAGTGCCAGAGGCGCGGCGAACGGCGCTCGTCCGTGCCGACGCGTGACATGGAGGTCTGAACGGGCCGTTGGGTTGAGTGCAAAGGTCCCTGCCATGTGCGTTCTGGTGGGTCGGGTTCGGCGCATCAGGTGGCAGTCGTGGACGGGTTTCGCAAAGGAAGTGACGTGATCGTACACATGGAATATATGGAATATTATATCCCCTTTAGGGGGACCCCAACCCCACCTGGTGTAGCCCAAGGGGGATAATATCATGACTGACATGTTCCAAGACGTCGATGGAAAAGCGGAAGGATCGAGGTGAAACCGAACCATGTCGTGTCCCGCTTGGAATCGAAGGGTTTCCATGGGTTTCCTGCAGGATGGTCCGACTGCATGATCGACCGTGTGCTGTGATCGACAGCGTTTAGTTGGTGACCCTTGAAGTGATGATGCTGATGATGATGATGATGATGATGATGATGATGATGATGCTGGTGGTGGTGGTGGTGACACGAGATGTGGAGCACTATGAAAGTGGATTTGGATTTCCACTCTACGAATTTTGTATACACTGGAAGGGTGGGCTGAAGCTAGTGGGTGATGTGGGTGGTCGATTGCACTTGAAGGTTTTCTTTTTTGCCTAGCGGCATCTAGCGGCGCAAGGAGGGTGGTCTTCTGGAAGGCGTTGGAAGTGGAAGCATCAGAAGAGTTTGTGATGAGTCTTTACATGCCTCTACTCTTTTGAAGATTCACAGCAAAGATCTAATACAAGCAAAAGGCCGGACTGTCCATGACAAGAGACTTTCTCCTTTCAAGAGGCCTGGGGACTCCAGCCGAAGCGTTCTTTTCCTGAAAAGGATCGAGCTCATGAGCAGCGAACGTTCCATTCGCTTCGCTCGCCCCTTCGAACGACGCTGCCCACGGCCACGCACCTCTTGGAGCCACTCTCGAGCTCCGACTCACCGCCGCAGGCGGTGTGTGCGGTGGTGGAACTGGGGAAGTTCCAAGCAGAGGACTTCCTGGCGCCCTAGTGGAACTGGGAGAGGATGGCCCTTTCTTGAGGGTTGGAGGAGGGTTGGAGATGGTTGGAGCATAGATCGCCCTTTACTAGGGGACTAGTTGATGAACATAGGGGAAACCAAGCAAACAACCAATAGAACCCAATAGGTATAGATGGTACCTGGCACCGACCCCTTAGTTATTCCGCAGTGCAGATATCACTGGGTCACAGTTTTAGGATTTTTGCCCACCGGAGTTTTGCTTCTGCTTTTGCCTTTGTTTTTTGCTTGTCCTGCTTTTTTTGGCGGAGCTTTGTTTTTGAAGCGCCGCCGTCATCGGCTGCAACGCGAGGGGCTTGCCCACATCCGTTCAAATAGGCTTATTTTAGAGGGCGCTTACCAACATCGTCTCCAAAGCAATTGCAAAGACCTGGTTGCAATCGCAAACCCATATTAGCGACTACATAGCACTCCGGACACAGGTGGTTGTTGGGTGACGGGCCTATTTGGAAACGTTTTGTTTTAGAAAGATCATTGCAGTACAATACCTCACGACCTGACATGCGCGGAAGCCTTCATTTGTCAGCCTATTTCCGCTTAGTTGGCTTGACAAGCAATGAGCCTAAACGGTTTCAAACAGAATGGTACACTTATTTCATTTAAACGTGTTGACTATGATAAACATTGTTATGTACAGCAAACAAGGTTTCTTCTTTTTTTGGATCGGTAGAAATAGGCCATAAAATTTTTGTTAGTTGCGCATGATAAACTAGGGCTAAGCGCAAGATTCTTGTGAACATATCTAGTTTGCAAAAAATCATTAAGTTTTTATGAACACGATTCAATAATTTGTAAAACTATATGAATGTTACATAGTTGCAAAAGAAAAAAATCAATCAAACCAATCAATATTTAATAGATATGTAGTTTTGGAAAACTATTTATGTAAGAATATTGATTAGGATTTGTGTTTTTACCAATATCGTTTAAGCAAGCGTTTTGAACAAGGTTTAGTTTCAATATGGTAACAATTTCTGAAATTCTTTACTTTCTGATATAGTTTAGACTCTTTAGAAAATATACTTCAAACAGTCGAAAGAAAATCTATCTCTACGATATATATTTGCATTTGTTTGTGCTACTTAACGAATGTGCTGTATTGACACCACTAGTTATTCTGGGCAACCCGGTATGTAGTCTTAAAAACAATTAGACACAAAAATAAAGTTGTTGAATTGTTCCATATATGGACTCAAAGAAACTCTATCTCTGCAATTAAATACAATATGTAAGAGAGAGATAGGGTCAAGATAGTTATACATTGTCGATTCTCCTAATACCTCAGTGTAGTTGCTCTTGGCAAATATTTTCAGATCAATTTGAACCAAAAACTGTGGTTATATATTAATATAGGTTGTTTTTACAACATTGCTTTAATGTAACTTAACACTGTAGAACTGAATTTTATATTGAACATAATACTTTTCAGTAATACTGATCATCACAATCAAAACATGTTTTTCCTGTGAACCCCCATTTTCAATCTTTTTCAACTATATACAAAAAACGACTTTTCGTCGGATCTCCAGACAAGGTTTCCGAAACTGCGACATGGAATCGATTCTTGGGGTGTTCAGGCCGCAGACGCCCAGGGCTGGACGGTGCTGCATCATGCTGCTCGTTCGGGCAAGGGCGCCTGCGTGGAGGTGAGGATGTCCCCACGTTGTCATTGAAGGGGACAAGGAGGGGGAGAATTGCTGGGAGGAAGTTGGTGCACTAGATGCTGGTATGCTTGAAGAATACAATTTCTGGAGCCTATCATTGGCTGGGACCTTTGATTTGTAGTTATTTCCAAGTAGAACTGTCGTCCAACCAACACGCCTTTGCACTCTCATTATGGAACCTGGTCATGTGTCGATCAAGTCCTTCACGAGGACCACGGCCCTATCCACGGCCTCCACACTGATCGCCACTCGCGCGCGGGGCTGTTGGGTCGCGACCACATGCATGGCCTGCCCGTGCGCGGCAGGTGGTTTTGCTGCAGTGTCACTTGCCTCAGGACGGGAACCAGAGGAATCGGGCTCGTGCAGAAGGGTAGGAACCAACAAATTCTGTCAATGTTTTGGGTTTGAGTCGGGTATCATACTAGTTGTTACTAGTTGCTAACCTTTTTTGCACAACCCCCAAAATTCATTACAGACTGGGTTGAAAAGACGGTATGCCTACAGCATGTTGGGTCTTTGCTTGCGTGGTCCATGTCTGTAACCATCATCCACTGGATGCTTGGATGCCTGGCAGATACGGATGTATA